TACAAGATTAATGTACACAGATCAATACCTTTTCTCTACACAAATAGCAACCAGGGAGAATCAAATCAAGAACACAACCCCTTTTACAATAGCTGCAAATAAAATACTTAGGAATATACCTAACCAAGGAGTTAAAAGACCTCTTCAAGGAAAACTACAAAACACTGCTGAAAGAAATCTTAGATGACACAAACAAATGGGAACACATCCCATCCTCATAGATGGGTAGACTCAATATTGTGAAAATGACCATGCTGCCAAAAGAGATCTACAAAGTCAATGAAATCCCCATCAAAATACCACCATCATTCCTCACAGAACTAGAAGAAACAATTCTAAAATTCATATGGAAACAAGAAAGAGCCCACATAGCCAAAGCAACACTAGGCAAAAAGAACAAATCTGGAGGCATCATACTACCTGACTGCAAACTACATTATAAGGCCATAGTCATCAAAACAGCATGACACTGGCACAGAAACAGGCACATAGACCAATGGAACAGAATAAAGAACACAGAAATAAACCCAGATATTTACAGCCAACTGATCTTTGACAAAAACATAAAGTGGGTAAAGGACACCCTTTTCAACAAATGGTGCTGGGATAATTCGCTAGCCGCATGTAAGAGAATGAAACTGGATCCTCATCTCTCACTTTATTCAAAAATCAACTCAAGATGGATTAAAGACTTAAACCTAAGACCTGAAACCATTAAAATTCTAGAAGATAACATTGGAAAAACCATTCTAGACATTGGCTTAGGCAAGGATTTCATGACCAAGAACCCAAAAGCAAATGCCATAAAAACAGAGATAAATAGCTGGGACCTAATTAAACTAAAGAGCTTTTGAACAGCAAAAGGAACAGTCAGCAGAGTTAACAGACAACCCACAAAGTGGGAGAAAATCTTCACAATCTATACATCTGATGAAGGACTAATATCCAGAATCTACAATGAACTCAACAAATCAGTAAGAAAAAAACAATCCCATCGAAAAGTGGGCTAAGAACTTAAATAGACAATTCTCAAAGAAGATATACAAATGGCCAAATATAGGAAAAATGCTCAATATCTCTAATTATTAGGGAAATGCAAATCATAATCACAATGCAATACCACCTTACTTCTGCAAGAATGACCATAATAAAAAAAAAATTTTAAAACAGTAGATATTGGTGTGGATTTGGTGAACAGGGAACACTTTTACACTGTTTGTGGGAATGTAAACTAGTACAACTCCTATGGAAAATAGTATGGAGAGTCCTTAAAGAACAAAAAGTAGAATTATTATTTGATCCAGCAATCCCACTACTGGGTATCTACCCAAAAGAAAAGAAAAAGTCATTATGCAAAAAAGATACTTGTACATGCATGTTTACAGCAGCACAATTTGTAATTGAAAAATCATTGAACCAACCCAAATGCCCCATCAGTCAATGAGTGGATAAAGGAACTGTGGTATATTTATATGATGGCATACCACTCAGCCATACAAAGGAATGAATTAATGGCATTCACAGCAACTTGGATGTGATTGGAGACTATTATTCTAAGTGAAGTAACTTAGAATGGAAGTTACTAATGGAATGGAAGTTCCATTCAGGAATGGAAAACCAAACATTGTATTTTCTCACTGATATGTGGGAGCTAAGCTATGAAGACACAAAGCCATAGGAATGATACATTGGACTTTCGGGACTTGTGGGGAAGAATGGGTAGAGGCGAGGCATAAAAGACTACGAATATGGTGCAGTGTATACTGCTCAGGTGAGTGGTGCACCAAAATCTCACAAATCACCACTAAGGAACTTATTCCTGTAACCAAATACCACCTATACCCCAATAACTTATGGAAAAATAAAAAAATTATACAGTTATAAAAGAAAATGCCCTTTGCTTGGAGATCAGTGAGTCTATTTCTCCGATGCTGTCTCTTAAAACCCAAGAGTCAATTTTTAACTTCAAAATGAAGTTCAGAGCCTGGTTCACTGGAAATTCACATCTTGTCCATCAGCTCCTACAAACTAAAATTGAAACTGATCTTGACACTTTTCCTTTAAAGCCTCTTTAGAATTGTTTTCCTCAGGGACTTTTCATTCTGCTTCTTTTTAACTTTAAATTTGGCATCTCCTTCTTGACTTGACTCATGCTCTCCTTACATGGAGTTCACTACATTCTTCCAACCTTCTGCCAGGGACATGATAGTGCTAGAAATAGAGTCCTTGTCTTTATTGATGGGGGAGGGTAGACATCTGTTAAGTACTCCCAAATTCCTGTAGAATGACAGATTGTGATCAGAGTTAAGGAGATTTACAGATGCTGTTTGAGCGAATGACAGGGTAACCTGAGTAAGTCTGGAAATTAGGAAAGAGATCAAGTATGAGCTGAGAGTGGAAGGATAAGAAGCAGTTAACTTTTACAGAGACCAGTGGGAAAAGCTGGAATGGAATCTGCAATGGTCTTATGGCAAGAATCATGATGCATTAGATAATCAGAGGAAAAGACCAACAGAAAAGACTGGATTGTGGAGAATGGGTTTGTGAGTACCTGAGAGATGATAGTGGTGCCATATCAAGCAGGACCTTTTGGCCATGCTAAGAATGCTGACCTCAGAAAACATGCGTGATCTTTATCCCAAAGATAATAGGATTTTATTAAATTAATTTTAGCTCATCATGATTAAAATTGTCATGTATATAGAACAGATTGAGGGTAGGGGAAGGGGACCCAGGGATGGATGCAGGGAAATCAATTAAGAGGCAAGAGATACATAAGGCACAGTAACCACTTTTGAAGTGCTCTGAGTTTATAAGAGAAAATTATTAACAATTAATAAAGCAAGACTGCATTTTTCCCATTTACATGGAAAGATTAAATGATCTATAATAATAGAAATCACCATCTCCAACTTCAACTACAAAATTAACTTTCTATGGGTTTTCCTAGTAATTTTTCCCTTCTATATGGCAGAAACAACCCCTTCCTTAATGTCCACACCTAAATATCAAAGTATAATTACACACCAATTATAAGAGAAAGGGCTATAAAAATATGTGACATTGCTGCTTCCTGTGATGACATTTTAAATTGGAGCCTGCATTGGAGAGAGTAACATATTTAAGGATACTATGTACAAAAGCAAGCTGGAAACTATTGTGTCTGTGTTCTCATAAAATGCAGCAACAACAATAATAATGATCTCTATAATGCCACACCTGAAAGAGAAATTTGGGGAAATAGCCAACCTTGGCTAAGAAGCAAATTGTAGAGGGTAGTACAGTCAGTTTCCCCAAGGCTGTGAAAGACTGGCTCCTGGCTGCCCACAACCTCATAGTTACATGTTGTTTCAGGCTTCGACAAGCTTAGTACAGTCTCAGGCAGCAAACAGCAAAGTCAAAGGGATTAAGTGACTCTGCTGTCTGCATGTGTGTTGGCTCTACAGCAGAGTCAGGAAATGCCAACTGGCACTCAGGCTGAAGCTTCCATCTTAAAGAGAAGCAAGCTCTCCCCTTACACAGACCCAAATTTCCCGCTGCTGAATTAACCTCTCTTAGAAAACCATGCTTGGTTTTACCAACATATATAAAAATACAGTCCATTTTTTCTGCTTTGCCCATTGTGCATCTGCAAATCCCTACAAGGCACAAATGCAAAAACAGTTGCCAATGTCATTTTGGGAATTTGTAGGGCAAGCAGCCAACTGGCTGCCTGTAGGTCATTCACACTGCAATAGGAAACAAATTTCTTGCTGCAATTATCCTTAAAGTTCTACTGTTTACCCCAGGAATAAACTAATTGCTGCTGTAAAATACCCTTTCCCACACTGTCCAGCACACATCTGTAAATTCCAAGAGGAATGAGGGCAAGAGGTTGCCAGTTGGCTTTTGGGAAGGAATGGAGATTTGCCAACTGGAAGTCAGCTTATTATTCATGGTGGAATAGAACTTGAGCTTCTTGTTGTAAATACCCCTGTATGTTTCAGTGCTTACCTGGGTACTTAATCCAACTTGGATCTCAATTTGTAATATGCCCCGGTTTACTACTGACTGTGAACCAGAGGAAAAGAAAAAGAAAGACAATATTCACACCTCAAATATTTACTGAATACGTACTAAATGCCAGGTAGTGTGTTTGGTGCTGACAATTGTCCATGAGAATTTTGCATTGTTAAAAGAATTCACAGAAGCAGAGTAAAGTATAATTTTTCCATCACCATCAACTATTTGACCTGTAAGTGGAGACTTAGTTCCAAATATCCTTTCAACTTCCCTTCACTTCAATCATCAAACTTGGTGGTCTTCCTATTCCCGGCCAACATTTCATACAGTGTTTACTGAAAGTACCTTCTGAAGCAACTCCCCTTTAGAATGCTTGTGCTTTTATACCTTTAAATAGACTATTGGTTTTGCCTGGAATACCCTTCTTCTGTTTCTCTAACCAGGAAAAGCCTACAAATCTTTGTAGACCCATCTCAAGTATGAGGAGGCAGAGAGAGGCACCAATATACCTTAAGGGTATGGTAAGAAATTTCACAGGCAAAGACTAAAATAAGTCTAGAGTTGCAAAGTTTGGAACTGGGAAGCCCCTTAGGAATACATATTTTTAAATATGCTTTTCAAATACTATAATCTGTTTCTCATCTGCTTTCTGTCTGCCTCTTTTCTGATTCTTCTTTTAGCTGACCAGCCACCTCTGATTGTACTGTGTCCAACATAAACAGTAGCCACATGGCTTTATCCTCTGCAAGGCCATGATCACCATTAATGATTACATTCTCAGTGTTATTTAACTAATGTTTAAGGGAGATTCTAATGTGTTCCTGGTCTACAGTGGATCTACCTTGGACCAGTGTCCCACCCTTGGGTGAATTCGCTGTGTCTGGGAAACTGGGTTCCATGGTATTAGCCAGCTAAGGCTGTCATTTCAGCAACATCACAGACAGGTTCAAGTAGGAAAGTTTCATGAGCAACAGAAAATAGTCTGTTGGGTAACTTACCACACTTATGTTGTCACTAATGGATGTGTCTTTCTTCCTCCCCACACATTGCAATCTATTATGCTATGGATGCCTCTCCAGGGCCATATGTTATTTTTCTGCAACAATATCACTTGGCAGAGTCCCTGGCAAATAAGTAGATTTGCAATCAACATGTGTTGAGTAAGCCTTTTAAAAACACAAATTGGATTATGTTGCTCTTTTTAAAAAATACTTCAGTAACTTCCTACTATGTCTAAAATAAAATCCAGATTTCTTTCCATGACCCCAAAAGCCCTGCAGGTTCTGATCCCTCCCACCTCTCCAGGTTAGTCAGGTGCATCTCACCTATTCATTCTCAGTGGTCCCACTCATGGATTTTTTTTCTTTTATTTTCTTTAACACACAAAAATTGTTCCAGACTCAGCACCTTGATAAATATTGCTCCCTCTGTCTGGGATGTGGTTCTGATCTTCTCAGGGCTGGCTCCCTCTCAGTTCCCCTTTGGGATGCAGCTTAAGTTTTATATCATCAGAAAAGCCTTTCCTGACTCTCCATGTTTCCAACACTACTCTCTATCCTGCTTTGCTGGGTTTGTTCAAAGTGTCTATATCACAATTTTGGATAGTTTACTTAGTTACTGTCTTTACCCTGGGTTAGACTGTACAGGCTGCAAAGTTGAGGGTGTGTCTCTTTCATTTTCTCCTGTATATATGAAGCCTCATACAGTGCTTAACACTCAATAAATATTTGTGAATGGATGAATGTATCAGAAGAAAGTGGTTCGAATTCTGTTTTGCTCACTGACAGTGATTTTAGGGAGATAGCTTTTCCTTTCTAGGCTTCAGTTTCCTTTTCTGCAAAATCAAGAGATTGCAGGGCGGACAGAGTGGTTACTTCTCTTCATCCAAGAACATCTAAGGCTTTCCCTTCTGAGATGCTTTCCCGAGCTAACCTATCTCATTCTGGGCCCACTGAATGCCTAACCTGAAATACTATTGGGCAGTAGTTTTCTTAGTTACTGTAAGGTCCCTGGAGACATGAACCAGGGACACTTGGAGAAAGAGAGAAGGCTGGGCCACATAGAAATTTTGAGAATCCTGAAGTATCTTTTAAGAATGAAGAAATTCCTAATTATGGTAATAAAAAGTATCAGAAATGTAGCCATTTTAATTGACAAAAAAACTGTTAAAATTTCCTTCAACAGAAATCCTATTCAAATGTTTACTGAGCATTAATCATATGCATTAAAGACTATAGAACATTTTTCATCTACTATCTCATTTAATGTGACAACATTTGCATGACAGATTTATTTGGGGGATCCCATTAAACCATGCCTCCCAGATGCATACACCTGTAAGTCTCTAGCCATTTGGAGGCTAGGTTGGCCCCGTGGCCAGCTGTGACCAACAGGACATTAGCAAGAATAATGCAATAGAGGTTTGATACATGCTTGCACACTGAGGCTTATCTTCTTGAACTGTTCCTCCATGAAACCTAGCCACCATGCTGTTATGGAACCCAAAAAGCTTTGTGGAAAGGCTCACACAGAGGAGAATCAAGGGGCCTGGTCCACAGCCCCAGTAGGGCTCACAGGCAGCAGCCAGCACCAATTACCAGCTATGTCTTTTGCCAGCTATGTGAGTAAAGACATAGCAGAACCTTTCAGACATCCCACAGTGGCACTCCATGAAGCAGGATGCCCAGTCAATAATCCACAGAATCATAAGAAAAAAATAATAGTTTCTTTTTCTAAGCCACTAAATTTGGGAGTAATTTGTTACTACCCCAAGCAGTCTCAAAACTAGATAGTATTTCATTTACACAGAGGAGAAACTGAGACTCAGAAATGGAAAATGATCAAAATTATTATTTTAATTGATTGATATTTACCACATTCTCTGGAGAGTAGTGAAAGACCCTCCAAAATAGCTGAATTATGTAGAGCTCCAATGGAAGAGGAAGTCCTATATGGATCACATGACCCTGTTCTCTCCACCTCAAGTCACAGGTGACTGAAAGAAATTGGCAACTAACTCAAAAACAGCCAAATAATTGGCTGGCCAGTAACCTACAGTGTGTCTTGGAGTGCAAGTCAAAATAACAAGTCAAACTAAACCCCAGCAAATTTCCTGTCTCAAGAATTTTAACTGAAAATACTGAATGACTAAGGCAGCTAAGTAGTAGACACTGAAGTTAACATGACAGCATGGGTTAGGCAGAAATATGACATATCACAACACACCAAAATTATAAGAAAGCATCATATAAAGCAATATGAGCAACCAGAAAGTATAAAGAAGAAACAACATGTAAGAAAACAGGTGAATACTCTATTGATTGATACCCAAAAGCAGAAGAAGGCAGAGGGAGCTGTGCAAAGACAGAAAAAGGAAAAACAGCCATGTGTCAGAGCCTCCATATGACCCCCGCTATGCCTGTCTATTCCCCAGTGGTCTTTCAGTTATGAATTTAATATACTCTCTTTTAATAAAGCCATCTTTTCTTAAAATAATTTGTGTAATTTTCTATCTCTTGCAAACTTGACAAACTAAAACAAATTTTAAACAGGAAATTATTCCCACCATGAAAAATTTATTTATTTATAAATACTTGTTAAAGGGAACTAGACAAATCATGATCATTCCTAGGTAAATTTTTCATGGTAGAAATTATTTATTTTAACCGTGAAAAATTTATTTATTTAATTTTAAATATGAGTCCATTTATATGAAGGACCAGAAGGCTTTTGGGATTGTTTAGAGATAGTGAAAATGGGGATCCCTAAGAAAAATGTATGTCTCAAGATAATTTTCTATCCAGAATGACTTCAAGTTCCACAGAATAATTTGAGCTATTAGATTATCAAAACGTTGAATTTAGAGTTCAAGTTCCCAGGACCTTCTTCAGACACTTGCAACTAACAGCTTCTCGTTTGACCCAATTTGCCTATGAATTAGTATGCACACGGGCATAACTAGCACCCCAAAATTTACATCCATGAGTAGCTATATCAAACTTTACAACTCTAGAAAGGAAATGAATAAACTAGTCAAAGGAAGAAGGGAAGTATTACTGCTGAAAAAGAAGTTAATTCTACAAATAATTTTTAATAATTTTAAACCTGACTTTGATTAGAAGATTTAAAACCTTAGAACAATTTACTTTGGTCATTGTTTGTCAGATTTATGAAGTTCTGTCTTTAAAAAATGTGTATATTGCTGAAAGACTGTAAAATTTAATAGCAAACAGATTACGCACTTAGGAATAGACTAAGCACAATTAGCGCTCACATTCCTCCCACTCCTATAAATAACTCAGTTTCCTTTCCATGTCTGCAAATTTCATTAGAGTAGTGGAAAAAAAAGCGGGGGGAGAGAATAAAAAGGGAAAAAGAAAAGGCTTCTGATTCTCTTTCACTGCAAAGCACAGATCCAATCATTCAATCAGGTCTTTGTGCAGCCCTAAGAAGGGGCACAGGGAGGGGGTGGGGCAGAGTAAAAGAGTTCTGTCTCTGGGTGTTAGCCCCCTAGCTTTGGAAAGAAACCTTTCTACATGTGGCTTTGGAATTCACCTGCTAGAAAACTGTACTGGCCTTTCCAGCAAGCAACCTGCTGCATGGCCTTCTCAAAGATGAACTTCAGTGATCTCAGAACAAAACACTGTCCCTCGCATAGTTTCAAGTTATATCTACTTTAGATATCCTACCTAATTTAGCAGTTTATTGTTAATTGTGTCTGTAAAAAGACCAAGACAGGTGTTAGAGGAAGGTATCTGGAAGAAGTGAAATTCTGGAAGCATGGAATGTACAAGCTCCTTCAGAGACTCTTGTGCCCCATCCACCACAACACTCCTCTAACGAAGTCTGTGCCTAAACGTATTTTAAGACTTTGGGTTTATGTTCAGTTCGTGGAGGGGCTTGTTTGTATAAAGTGAGGTGGATAATAGAGAATTTTTTTCATTTTTTATGCTGTGTGAAGAAAAAAACTTTCTTTTTTCATAATCTGGATATTTTAAAACACTCAAGTCAAAGTTTGTGTTTAAAATGTGAAAAAATCTAGAATCTAGTTTAAAACTGGATAAAGAACTTAATAGATATTTCTTCAAAGAAGATATACAAATGGACAGTGCATATGTGAAAAAATTCACAACATCACTAATCATTAGGGAAATACAAATCAAAACCACAATGAGATGCCACCTTGTACCCATTAGGATGGCCATTATTAAAAAGAAGAAGAAGAAGAAGAAAGAAAAACAGAAAATGACAAGTGTTGCTGAAGATGTGAGGAAACTGGAACTCTCATGCATTTTTAGTGGGCATGTAAAATAGTGTAGCTGCTGTGGAAAACAGTATGGCAGTTCTTTAAAAAATTAAAAATATAGGGCCTATTAAGAACCATCCCAGCAACCCAACCACAGCTGGTCTTCCCTGGACAGCATGAACCACACCATTTAAACCTTCTTCAGTCCTGCCAACACCGATCATCCCCCCAGCTATGAGATGCTGAAGGAGAAGCATGAGGTGGACGTCCTGGGGATGCCCCACAACCTGGCTACCCCTACATTCACCATGATCCACATCCACAGAGAGGCCTCCGTGCCTGACCATGTCATCTAATCCCTGTTCAATACCCTCTCCATGAACTCTTGCTGCCTGGGCTTCATAGCATTTGCCTACTCCGTAAAGTCTAGGAATGGGAAGATGGTTGGTGAACTGACTGGGGCCCAGGCCTATGCCTCCACCGCCAAGTGCCCTGATTTGGGGCATTATCATGACGATTCTGCTGATCATCATCCCAGTACTGATCTTGCAAGTCTATCAATAGATCAAGAGGAATCATCCAGGCCAGGGGGCTCTGCCCATCACCTGTTTCCCACATACTCCACCTTCCATTCCTCGCCCAGCCCCAGAGCTGAGTCCTGTAACAGCTCTTTATCCTCACACGCGTTTCTACAATGGCACTCAATAAAGTGCACATGTTCCTGGTTAAAAAAAAAGAAAAATTAAAAATATAATTATCATATGATCCATCAACTTTATTTCTGGACACATACCAAAAAGAATTGAAAGCAGGATCTCAAAGTGATATTTACATATCCATGTATATAGCAGCATTGTTCACAATTACCAAAATGTGAA